GGAGGAAGCGCCTGGCTCCTGGCTTCAGATCAGCGCAGCACCGGCTGTAGCCCACCGGCCGTAGCAGCCATTTGGAGAGTGAACCAATGGAAGGAGGACCTTTATTTCTCTTTCTCTCTCTCACTGTCTAACTCTGCCTGTAAAAAAAACAAAAACAAAAACAAAAACAAAACACAGTCTGTGTCTTTTCCTTTCTCTGTGTAATACTGACTTACAAATAAATTTTAAAATCTTTAAAGAAAATAGCAGTGCTTGCCGGCGCCGCGGCTCACTGGGCTAGTCCTCTGCCTAGCGGCGCCGGCACCCCGGGTTCTAGTCCTGGTCGGGGCGCCGGATTCTGTCCCGGTTGCCCCTCTTCCAGGCCAGCTCTCTGCTGTGGCCCGGGAGTGCAGTGGAGGATGGCCCAAGTGCTTGGGCCCTGCACCCCATGGGAGACCAGGAGAAGCACCTGGCTCCTGCCATTGGATCAGCGCGGTGCGCTGGCTGCGGCGGCCATTGGAGGGTGAACCAAGGGCAAAGGAAGACCTTTCTCTCTGTCTCTCTCTCTCACTGTCCACTCTGCCTGTCAAAAAAAAAAAAAAATAGCAGTGCTCTCAGTCTGTGTATTAGCTGTGTTAGCACAGCACTGGGTGTACAGCTTGGACATAGCTGGTGTCTGGGGCGAGGGTGGTGCTTCCAGGTGTCCAGAGGGAGCAGACACACCAGCCATGTAAGTGTGTAAATGTGTTCACCTTTCTGTAAGGACTTTCGTGCGGCAGCCTGAGATGGGCTTGCCCAGTAGGGCCCTTGTCTGTTGTTGAACAGGTGCCTTGTTGCTGTCGTTGAATGCTGTGTTCTGAGAGTTGTGTGGGAGAGGGAAGTGCCATGACGCATTATTGGAGCCCAGTCTCCACAGGTGTTGCACGGTGGGGCCACTTGATCCACTTGATCTTGAACTGTGACCTCCGGACTGTAGGCTGAATAAACCTTTTCTTTCCAGGAAGCTCCTCTCAGCAGTGTCTGGCCTTTAGCTTAGAGCAGAGATGGCGCTGCCTTGTCCCCGGAGTTCACCCTCGCATTTCAGTATTTCCGTTTCCTCTGCGTGCGAAGGAGGCAGCAGGCGATGGAGTCCTCAGGTCCCTGCCACCCACATGGGAGACCAGGATGGAGCTCTGGGTTCCGGCCTTGGCCTGGTCCAGCCCTCGCTGGTGCTGTGATTTGGAGAGTAAATGGTGACTGGGAAATACCCACCACACCTTTGCCTTTCAAATAAAAAAAATACTTAGACAATTTTGGATTGCACTCCCCCCAATCTGAGACTATGGGTTTGCCAGCAACATGATTTCCTTGCTGGGATTATCTTTGGCTCTGTGGCCTGTTTAGCCCACAACAAAAGCTGTCCCACCGTGGCAGCAGCAGTCTCCCTACTGCAGTGGGTTAGGCCACAAGCGTAAGCGCAGCAGTGCGTTCTGGGTGTCTCCTCACTCTCCCCACATTCAGACCCTGGACTGACCTGGGATTCCCGGGGATGTGCCCTTGCCTGTGCCCTCTTCATGTGGTGTCCTGCCTGGCTCACTGCCAGCTGCCAGAGTGCAGAGCAGGCTGGTGGAGCATGCCATGCACACCCCTGTCCCCACCTGAGCAGGAATCCTGAGAACAAAGCATGAATAGGGAGCTCCTTGCAAGAATAAACGTGGTTTTTTTTTTTCAAAAATTTATTTATTTATTTGAAACAAGTTACAGAGAGAAGGAGAGAGAGAGAGAGAGAGAAGGTGAGAGAGAGAGAGAGAGGTCTTCCATCCGCTGGTTCACTCCCCAGCCGGCTGCAACAGCCAGAGCTGTGCTGATCTGAAGCCAGGAGCCAGGAGCTTCCTCCAGGTCTCCCACGTGGGTGCAGGGGCTCAAGCACTTGGGGGCCATCTTCCACTGCTTTCCCTGGACCATTAGCAGGGAGCTGGATTCAAGTGGAGCAGCTGGGACTCCCCCCATCGACCAGATGGGATGCTGGTCTCACAGGCAGCACTTCAGCTGTGTGACCAGCTGTGTCTCAGTGCCCCACCCCCTTGTCACCAGCTGTGTCTCAGTGCCCCACCCCCTGTCACCAGCTGTGTCTCAGTGCCCCACCCTCCTGTCACCAGCTGTCTCAGCACCCCACCCCCTTGTCACCAGCTGTGTCACCAGCTGTGTCTCAGTGCCCCGCCCCCTTGTCACCAGCTGTGTCACCAGCTGTGTCTCAGCGCCCCACCCCCTGTCACCAGCTGTGTCATCAGCTGTGTCTCAGTGCCCCACCCCCCTGTCACCAGCTGTGTCTCAGTGCCCCACCCCCTTGTCACCAGCTGTGTGACCAGCTGTGTCTCAGTGCCCCACCCCCTGTCACCAGCTGTGTGACCAGCTGTGTCTCAGTGCCCCACCCCCCTGTCACCAGCTGTGTCTCAGTGCCCCACCCCCTTGTCACCAGCTGTGTCTCAGTGCCCCACCCCCTGTCACCAGCTGTGTCACCAGCTGTGTCTCAGTGCCCCACCCCCTTGTCACCAGCTGTGTCTCAGTGCCCCACCCCCTTGTCACCAGCTGTGTCTCAGTGCCCCACCCCCTGTCACCAGCTGTGTCACCAGCTGTGTCTCAGTGCCCCACCCCCTTGTCACCAGCTGTGTCTCAGCGCCCCACCCCCTGTCACCAGCTGTGTGACCAGCTGTCTCAGCGCCCCACCCCCTTGTCACCAGCTGTGTGACCAGCTGTGTCTCAGTGCCCCACCCCCTTGTCACCAGCTGTGTGACCAGCTGTGTCTCAGTGCCCCACCCCCTGTCACCAGCTGTGTGACCAGCTGTGTCTCAGTGCCCCACCCCCTTGTCACCAGCTGTGTCTCAGCGCCCCACCCCCTGTCACCAGCTGTGTCACCAGCTGTGTCTCAGCGCCCCACCCCCTGTCACCAGCTGTGTCACCAGCTGTGTCTCAGCGCCCCACCCCCTGTCACCAGCTGTGTCATCAGCTGTGTCTCAGCGCCCTACCCCCTTGTCACCAGCTGTGTCACCAGCTGTGTCTCAGTGCCCCACCCCCTGTCACCAGCTGTGTCATCAGCTGTGTCTCAGTGCCCCACCCCCCTGTCACCAGCTGTGTCTCAGTGCCCCACCCCCTTGTCACCAGCTGTGTCACCAGCTGTGTCTCAGTGCCCCACCCCCTTGTCACCAGCTGTGTCTCAGCGCCCCACCCCCTGTCACCAGCTGTGTGACCAGCTGTCTCAGCGCCCCACCCCCTTGTCACCAGCTGTGTGACCAGCTGTGTCTCAGTGCCCCACCCCCTTGTCACCAGCTGTGTGACCAGCTGTGTCTCAGTGCCCCACCCCCCTGTCACCAGCTGTGTCTCAGTGCCCCACCCCCTGTCACCAGCTGTGTGACCAGCTGTGTCTCAGTGCCCCACCCCCCTGTCACCAGCTGTGTGACCAGCTGTCTCAGCGCCCCACCCCCTTGTCACCAGCTGTGTCACCAGCTGTGTCTCAGTGCCCCACCCCCTTGTCACCAGCTGTGTCTAAGTGCCCCACCCCCCTGTCACCAGCTGTGTCTCAGTGCCCCACCCCCTTGTCACCAGCTGTGTGACCAGCTGTGTCTCAGTGCCCCACCCCCTGTCACCAGCTGTGTGACCAGCTGTGTCTCAGTGCCCCACCCCCTGTCACCAGCTGTGTCTCAGTGCCCCACCCCCTTGTCACCAGCTGTGTGACCAGCTGTGTCTCAGTGCCCCACCCCCTTGTCACCAGCTGTGTCTCAGCGCCCCACCCCCTGTCACCAGCTGTGTCACCAGCTGTGTCTCAGCGCCCCACCCCCTTGTCACCAGCTGTGTCTCAGCGCCCCACCCCCTGTCACCAGCTGTGTCACCAGCTGTGTCTCAGCGCCCCACCCCCTTGTCACCAGCTGTGTCTCAGTGCCCCACCCCCTGTCACCAGCTGTGTGACCAGCTGTGTCTCAGTGCCCCACCCCCTTGTCACCAGCTGTGTCTCAGTGCCCCACCCCCTGTCACCAGCTGTGTGACCAGCTGTGTCTCAGTGCCCCACCCCCTTGTCACCAGCTGTGTCTCAGCGCCCCACCCCCTGTCACCAGCTGTGTCACCAGCTGTGTCTCAGCGCCCCACCCCCTGTCACCAGCTGTGTGACCAGCTGTGTCTCAGCGCCCCACCCCCTTGTCACCAGCTGTGTCTCAGTGCCCCACCCCCTGTCACCAGCTGTGTGACCAGCTGTGTCTCAGTGCCCCACCCCCTTGTCACCAGCTGTGTCTCAGTGCCCCACCCCCTGTCACCAGCTGTGTGACCAGCTGTGTCTCAGTGCCCCACCCCCTGTCACCAGCTGTGTCTCAGTGCCCCACCCCCTGTCACCAGCTGTGTCACCAGCTGTGTCTCAGTGCCCCACCCCCTTGTCACCAGCTGTGTCACCAGCTGTGTCTCAGTGCCCCACCCCCCTGTCACCAGCTGTGTCTCAGTGCCCCACCCCCTGTCACCAGCTGTGTCTCAGTGCCCCACCCCCTGTCACCAGCTGTGTCACCAGCTGTGTCTCAGCGCCCCACCCCCTTGTCACCAGCTGTGTCTCAGCGCCCCACCCCCTTGTCACCAGCTGTGTCACCAGCTGTCTCAGCGCCCCACCCCCTTCAGCTGTTCTTTAGGAAGAGCCGCTCAGGGCTGGAGAGCGGCCTCAGGCTCTGGGCTTCCTTCAAGACAGCCGACTCAGTATACAGAATGGTCATCCTTGCACAGATTCCTTCCGCCAGTGCCCTCCTTTGGCTGTCTAACACCTGCTAAAGTTAGCTATGGGGTAGGGGCGGCCCCTGTCCCCGAGGGCCTGGTGTCCATTTCCATTCTGCTCTGGTTATGGGCAAGTCAAGTCCCCCACTTGCAACAGTGTCCTCCAGGTCACGTCTGCTCCAGCCCAGGAACCCAGAGCGCGGGTCCCAGTGCATGCAGGCTGTGGTGGGGCTGACGGACAGGATCTGGGGTCCGAGGGGGTGATCACGGTGACCTTGAGCTATTCCGATCTTTTCTAGGAGCATTCTGGGCGTCTGCGTCTGGTATTAACCCCTAGAGATCAAAACGCCCGACGCTTCACCAGCTGTGTCTCAGTGGCTGGCAGCACCCTGGGGCTGCAGTAGACTATTGGTAAGCTTCTGTGAAGTGAACGAGTGAGTACTGTGCTCAGACGATTGGCCCCGTATCTCTTACTAACGAGGGAGGAAATTCGTTGTCCCTCCGTTAAATAAATGAGTTTCTGGAGGGACAGGCACCACAGCTGACGCTGACATGGCGCCTGCTCCTACCGAGGAGTGCTCTAACCGTCCCCGCCTTCGCTGGTTAAGCTTTATCAAGACTCCAGGGCAGCTTTAATAATTCTGCTACTCAGCCAGCCAATGGGCTGCGGGCGGCCTCGCCTACAGCCAGCCCTGCCCGGGCCCGCCGGCTCGTCCTCCGCAGGTGCCGCCGCCGCGCCGTGCAGCACCGACTCGGTAAGGCTGGGCTGCGCGGGCGGGCCGGGGGCGGGGGGCGCGCTGCGGCACCGGGTCCAGGCAGGGACGCCGGCGGGGTCCGGATGCTGCGCGGCTGGGCAGCGTAGGAGCGGGGCGCCCAAGGGAATTCCAGCATCTTCGCGTGGCGGGATTCGTGGATAACTCAAAACCAGAGCGGGGCGCGACTCGTCTGTGCCCCTTAGGGTCAGTCAGCCCGCGGGGTCCGCCCTGTGCGGGGCGGAAGGACGCTCGGCCCCCGGCTGGGCGCGGCGCCGCCGACCCTCTCCCCGCCGCGCAGCGGTCAGGTCGCACAGTGGGCGCGGGGCTCCCAGCGCAGCCCGAGCGCGACGGTGAGCAGGACCGGGCTCTCCCCGCAGCTTCCGCCGCCGGTCGCGGGCAGGTGGGCGCGAGAGGCTGCCAAGGCCGCGCCAGCCCCGGAGAAGGCGTGGGGCTCCGGAGCCCAGTGGGCCAGGGCGGCACCGCGGCCTGAGCCCAGAGCGGCCGCTTTCCTCGTGCGCCGGCGGCAGTCCTGCTTTGCTTCTTGGAAGCGGAAGGAAACGCAGATGAAGGCTGATCCTACTTTTTTAAAACGAAAATACTTTGAAGAGATAAAAACCCCAAGTAACTATCTGATTAAGCACAGAGCCGCGCTCCCAACAGGTCCCCCTTCCCAGCAGGTTTTGTAGGAAACTGGTGACTTAGTGAGTTACTGAATAAAATGAAAGGCAGTTTAACCTTTTGAGGCATGGATTTTGCTGCGCAGGCCTCCTGGTTCTGGTCACTCTGTTAAGGTAGCTAAGTGCACATGAGCCTGTGTGTGTGAGGGGCTGAAGAAAACGGGAAGAAACTGAGAATTTTTAAAGAAAATAAATTCTCGTGTAATGAAACGAGGACACAGGCCCTGAAAACAGAGCAGCAAGTACACCTGCCGTCAGAGCCCTTGTCCTGTGACCCTGCTAGGTGGGCTGCAGCCTCCCCTGCCCTGCACCAAGGAGACGTTCCGTCTGATGAATTCCTGGGAAGGTTTTCGGGAACTCTAGACCTAGAAATTTCCTACCTGTAATTTTGCACAAGGGAGAAGAAAGGGGGACCCACACTCATGTCCATAAAAACTCCAGTCAGGGGGCCGGCGTTGTGGCATAGCCGGTTAGGCTGCCACCTGCAGTGCCGGCATCCCATATGGGCTCTGGTTGGAGTGCTGGCTGCGCCATTTCCGATCCAGCTGCCTGCTGGTGTGCCGGGGAAAGCAGCGGAGGATGGCCCACTGGCCCAAGTGCTGGGGCTGCACCTGCCTGGCCTACCAGGTGTACGTTCTTCTTTAGTTCTCTTTGTATAGCTTTGCTTCCTCACTTACCTCTGCTCTCTGTCTCACATCAGAATTCTGTCTTAAACAGACAAGGACCCCTGAGCAACCAGTATTCAAGCATATTTGTTTCCTTCTAAACTACTAGCCAGTGAGTGAAAAGTTGATGGCAGTGCTGCCAGCAAGCAGGTCCTTGCAAGCTGTTTGGGGCCCTGGTGGGAGAGGTGCCGGGGGGGCACGGGGCTGGTGAGAATGCCGTGCAGGGTGCGTGTGGGCGTGGGGCAGGCTGATCTCCTAAGTCGATTTGGAACCATCACCATGCAGAGTTGGTTCTGTGCAGTGGTTTTGCCTCAGTTCTAAGAGCCTGTAATTACTCCTTCCTAGACTTGACCTTGCACTTGAACTCTATCTTAACATCCGTTGTAGTTTTTAAAAAGGCGAGTTTAGGAGTACACATGTTTTGCATCAAGGAGGCAGAAATCCGTGTCAGGGCCCAGCCCCCAACCTGGAAGTGGAGGGAATTAGAGTGGCCTCCCTTCCGGGGTGCTGTGTTTGGCCCCAGCCCAGGCAGTGGTCACTAAGTGACCTCAGGGCCTCAGGGGAGGTTTTGGGTGCTGGCCTGTGCATGTCCAAGCCCGGCCCTCCATGTCCATTAGTAACAACACTGTAGGAGCAGGCGCTGGGGCGTAGTAGGCTAAGTTTCCACCTAAGGCGCCAGCATCCCATATGGCACTGGTTCATATCCCAGCTGCTCCTTTTCTAGTCCAGCTCTCTGCTATGGCCTGGGAAAGCAGTGGAGGGTGGCCCAAGTGCTTGGGCCTCTGCACCCGCATGTAAGAGCCGGAGGAGGCTCCTGGCTCCTGGCTTTGGATGGGCCCAGCTCTGGCCATTGCAGCTGTGTGGGGAGTGAACCAGCAGATGGAAGACCTTTCTCTGTATTTCCCTCTCTTTGTAACTCTGCCTCTCAAATAAATAGATATTTATATATTATGTAATTATTATTTAAAATATTAATATTTTTTTATTTATTTGAGAGGCAGAGTTACAGAATGGCATAGGCTGAGAGAGAGAGGTCTTCCATCCCTGATTCATTCCCCAAATGGCTGTGATAGCCAGAGCTGGGCCAATCCAAAGCCAGGAGCCAGGAGCTTCTCTGGGTCTCCCACATGGGTGTGGGGGCCCCAGCACTTGGATCACCTTCTACTGCTTTCCCAGGCCACAGCAGAGAGCTGGATTAGTAGAGGAGCGGCTGGAACTTGAGCTGGTGCCCATATGGTACGCCAGCAGCTTTACTCTCTGTGCCACAGGGCCAGCCCCAGTAAATAAATCTTTAAAAACAAAACACTGTTAATTTCTCCTACAGCTCTGCAGTGAAGCCCTTTGGACACTCCCTGAGCTCTGTGGGTGTGTGCCTGGTTTCTGGTTTGGGCTGCAGCATTTGCCCTCGGGCAGGTATAATGAGCCCTCAACCATCCCGAAGGTGGAGCTCCGCTTTTCTGGGTGAAGTGCATCACAGCCAGTGGAACAGGATCTGAGTGCCCTTGGATGAACCAGCCATTCCAGAGCTCCCGCTAACCTTTCCCCTACTTTTGCACTGTCACGTCATGACCTGGGGGTGGAGTGGGGTATAGGTGCCTGGCTTCAGGCCATGGGAAGGTGGTGGGCGTGGGAGATGGGACAGGGTGGCTCCTTGGGCCCAGCGCTGTTGCACTTTGATCGCTTGCATTTTACCTTGGTTGGAAAAAACATTTAGTCACCCTGCAGGGTTATTGTTGGCAGGCCAGAGTTCTAAGGTTGGTGGAAGCTGAACTTGGATTCTGGAAGAACTGGGGCTTTGAGAACAAAGTGGGGTGGGGGAGCAGGGAGGGAGAGGGAAAGACAGTGCTGATGTTTCGTATTTGAGTGTCCTTTGGCGTCTGCCCTCTGCTTCTGACCCGGCTCCCCGATAACACAGCTGGGGAGGCAGTGCATGATGGCCCAGGCGCTCCACCTGGAATGGAGTTCCTGGTTCCGGACTCAACCTGGCCTAGACCTGGCCGTCGCGGCCGTCTGGGGGAGTGAACCAGCAGAAGGAACTCTGTCTCTCTCACTCACTCTGCCTTCCAAATTAATTAATTAATTAATCTTTTAAAAAAGCTTTTAAACGGGGGCCAGGATTTGACGTCCTGGTGAAGCTGTTGGCTAAGACGCCTGCGTCCCCTGTTGCAGCGCCTGGTTTGGAATCGCTGCTGCGCTTCCAGGCCAGCGTCCTGCTAATGCACACCTGGGAGGCAGCGGTGAGGGCTCGGACGACTGAGCCAGCCAACCTGATGAGGGCCAGCCCCACCTCCTGAGGACATTTGGAGACTGCACCGACGGTTGGGGGCTCTCTCTGTCTTGTCTCTCTGCCCCTCAAATAAACAAACTTTTTAAAAAGATAAAATGCTTTTTCAAGACAGAATATTCAAAATGTGTTCAAATGAGGTACCTCACACTTTAGCTTAAGGAGGCTGCCAGTGTGGTCCAATGGTAATTCCAGTCCTGTGCTTTTCTTGTGAGGATTTTGTTTGGTTTTCAAAATAAGCAGTACAAGCAGAGTTAAAAAGGGAGAAATGGGAACGCAGTGCAGAGTACGCTTCCTCCTTAATTGGCTTTCCCTCTCCAGTCACCACCACTACTGACAGTTTCTGTGATAATGTTAGAAGTAATCTGGGCTGTACAGGATATATTTTTATTTTTAATTTTCAGTTTTTTAAATTTTTTAGTCTATGCATTTGAAAGGCAGAGGACAGAGGCCTCCCCTCTGCTGGTTCTACTCCCTAAATTCCTTCAACAGCCAGGGGTGGGTCAGGCTGAACTGCAACCTGACGACTCAGTCTGGGTTTTCCGCCTGAGTGACAGGGACCCAGCTGCTCAGCCATCCCCAGCTGCCTCTCAGGTCCCACACTACCAGGAAGCTGGAATCAGGCACAGAGCTGGAACTGCAACCAGACACACAGATGTGGGGTGCAGGCTTCTCAAGTGGCCCCCAGATGCTGACTCCATGACACATTTTTAGCAGTCTACTGCTTTGCAGAACTGTGGGAGATTGTCCTGTTTGGTGATTTCAGGTATGGTGCTGCCTTTCTTCTCATGCCAACACTGAGTGAACCTTGGGTCCTGAGGCTCTGAGCTGGGATTGGCTGCCTGCTGGAGTCATGTGGCAACCTCAGTTCTGAGAAACCACCTTTGCGTTTCCTTTGTGTGCATTGTTCTGTGTCCAGGAATGTCTGGAACTCAATAATGAAAGAAATACGCTGCCGACTGAGGTGTTCCTGTCCAGGGATGTGGCAGGACAGTTGCCACCCATCAGCTGATCACTGGACGCTGAGCTC